CCTGTCAGTGTGTATCTGCCTGCCCATATGGAGTATACGCAAACAGATATAATGACAAGTCTGCAGGAGTCCTGCATGGCACCCATGATCTGCTGAGGTGCAATGCTTTCCAGGCACCTAGAACAAAAAAAAGGACAATTTTTTACCTGCAAAAAGAGGTGCATGTATTGTGCTTTATCCCTTTCAATGCCAGGTCCTGTGCTCCACTTGTAAACTCAAGTGGCCAGGATGTTTTTGCAATTTTATTTTTGTATTGTTTTGTACGTTTTTTTTTTTTTTTTTTTTTTGGGTTGGGCTGGGGGGAGCTTTGGTGTAATATCAGAGGTCTAAGCAGACCCTTGAGATCTCTTTTTTTGAGACAGAGAAAAGGCCTGAAGACAGTCCATTTCTCTGTAGCCTACACTGCACATTGCATGAATGAATAAGATTCTGTATAGAGATTCCTATTCATTCACAAAACTGCCACATAGTAAACACAGTTTACTATGCTCAGTTATCGGTGGATACAGGAGCACTCAGTAGTGATCGCTGACTGTACCCATTGAAGGAAAGAGATGGGGCTGGTAAACACATGGTTACCAAGCCCCTCCTCCCCCCCGCTCTCCAATCTGATGACAGTTTCCCCAAGTGCCAGAGCAACAGCTGCAGGTGGCTAGAGAAAGATGGGGGAATGCCATCTAGAAGTAGGGGATTGGTGAGTCAGGGGCCATTATGGGGTGGGGGCAGAGTGGCAGGAGGACATATTTTTGTGCTTCAAAGATTTGAGAGGAATATCTCTGATCAGCAGCGTTTGACCCCTGCTGATCAGAGCTGTTTGTTCAGCAGAGTTTGCTGAACAGTTTTGCTATAAGCTCATGGTCACATGAGCTTATTGCAGAAGCAGGAATGCAGGTCTGCATGGCGTATGGACCTGGCTAGCTAGAAGCATTGCTGTAGGTCTGTATGCCATACGGACCTGGCAGTGAAAGGGTTAAGGTTTCATTCAAAACACAAAGGGGTTGATTTACTAAAGGCAAATACTGTATGCTGTACACTGCAAGTGCAGTTGCTCTAGATCTGAGGGGAAACTCTGAAATGAGGGAAAGCACTACTGATTTCTATCATCCAATCATGTGCAAGCAAAAATGCAGTTTTCAAAAAAACTTTCCTTGCACGTGTAGCGCTCTTTAATGTGCTACTAGTGTTAGTGTAGGTAAATTTATTTATGTATGGTAAGATTCATGTTGACAGTGTCAGTTTGTAATTAGGTCAGGTTACTGTAGGTCAGGCTGGGGTGACTCAGCAGGTTGGGACTCTATCGCCTCCACCTGGTTCTGGAGGACCATGGAAGCTTCTAGAAGCCAGTGGGAGAAGGGGTGGAGACCTAAATCTGCATTGTTTTTGGAGTCTGACCAATCCAAGGCTTGGAGGCCCTAAAAATATGAGACAGACATGCTATCAGAGAAGTCAGATGAAAGATGAAGTGCTGACAGGCTGTCGGTTGCTCGGGGAGAGGTCTAGGGGGGCTTTGCCTCTGGTCTGGGCTTGGACCAGCTCAGAAAGAACAATTCTGCATCATTGTTATGAACAGGATCATTGCCTGGGAGTAGTGGGAGCAAGGAGGACAGAATGAGTACATCAGCACACCCTGGGATTCACAAGGGGAGAAGCTGCCACATACAGCAAGCTTTCAAAGGACAGTGCTGTGCTTAATCCTTTATCATTGTCCTGGGAGATCTTCAAAGCAGCCTGGAGGGCTGGTAGTGTCTGCAGGCTGTGGAGCTGGGAGCAGTTCTACAGGGGAGAGGAGATACTTCTGCATGTAGTTTGTAACAATCTTTGCTAACTTTCAGAGGGGCTGAGAGTCCCTAGCCCATAAGGGACTTTTACTACTGTTCAGTTAAGACTAACTGTGTTCAAGGAGAAGAACAGTCGAGGATCTTTTTCTGTAAATAGGAATGAAATTGTCCCTGTACATCGATTCAGTCAAGTTGGGCATCCCATAATCCCTATCACCCCATCCAAGTTATTTCCCCTAATAAAATGACAAAAACCAAGTTCATGGACTGTTCACTGATTGTGGATGCAAGTGTGGAAAATGTGCATTGCCTAACTATGCAAAGCTTGGGGGGACCCAGAAACACAGCGGCCCTCAAGAGGGCAGGGCTACACATGTGCTGATTTCTTTCATCCAATCATGTGCAAGCAAAAATGCTGTTTTTTTATTTCCCTTGCATGAGATTGGGTATTCTTTGCAAAATGAAGCTTTACCTTTTTAATAAGCTCTGGAGCACATGCACTTGTAATGCACAGTATATTTGCCTGTAGTAAATCAACCCCAAAGTGTGTCTTAAGTGCATGTAAATACATACAGTATGTGTTGACATGCAATTGCATGCAGTGTTGCTTTACATTTTAAAAATGCACTGCAATACTTTTTTACATTTTTCTTAAATTTCAGTAAACTTTATTTGTATAGAAACCGTCAAGTCACTGTTTTGACTCGTGTTTATGCCCGTTGCAGATTGCATACATTTGTTTACATGCGTTGTGTCACAATGCGCTGGAAAAAAGTTTTCAGCACAGGAAAGCGCACATCAGCACAATGTACTGGTGTAAATGGCTCATATTGGAATACATTAATCATTCAATGTATATGCGTTGGCATGCAATAATTAACGTGTTCCAAGCATCTGGTGCGAATGGACCCTTTTGAATGGACATACACGCACCCAAACTGTCTTAATACAGCCTGAAGGGGCTGTAAATATTGCCACAGCTGCAGCTCTTTTATCTTGGGGTGCAGAGTTTGACACTCATCCATTGAGTTTAATGGAGCTGCACCACAACTGTGTACAATGCACATGATTGCGGTGCTGTAGTGCAATATTATAGGGTTAAATCAGGTGAAAAGGAGGCACTTTTAACGCCTGTCAAGTGCCCTCTGAAAAGTGTTCTGAATGCAGAATGCTTTTCAGAGGGTACCACACTCCACAGCAAGTGTGAAAGAACTCTAAAGAAGGTTGAGGATGGGCAGAGAAGACATAACAAGGAAAATCCTTCCCACTTTTTTTTAACACTACATGTACACTGCTCAAAAAAATGAAAGGAACACTTTAATCAGAATATAGCATCAATTCAATTAAACTCCTGGGATATTGTTCAGTTAAGTAGCAGAGGGGGTTGTTAATCAGTTTCAGCTGCTTTGGTGTTAAAGAAATTAACAACAGGTGCACTAGATGGGCAACAATGAGATGACCCCCAAAACAGGAATGGTTGTACAGGTGGAGGCCACAGACATTTTTTTCCCTACTCATCTTTTCTGACTGTTTTTTCACTAGTTTTACATTTGGCTAGGGTCAGTGATCTGGACCCTACAAAGGTTGCTCAGGGAGTCCAACTCTTCCAGGATGGCACATCATTATGTGCCATTGCCAGAAGGTTCGCTGTGTCTCCCAGCACAGTCTCAAGAGCATGGAGGATATTCCAGGAGACAGGCAGGAGAGCTGGATAAGACTGTAGAAGGTCTTTAACCCATCAGCAGGACCAGTATCTGCTCCTATGTGCAAGGAGGAACAGGATGAGCACTGCCAGAGCCCTACAAAATGACCTCCAGCAGGCCACTGGTGTGAATGTCTCTGACCAAGCAATCAGAAACAGACTTCATGATGATGGCCTGAGGACCCGACGTCCTCTAGTGGGCCCTGTGCTCACTGCTCGGTACCACAGAGCTTGATTGGCATTTGCCATTGAGCACCAGAAATGGCAGGTCTCCGCCACTGGCGCCCTGTGCTTTTCACAGATGAGAGCAGCTTCACCCTGAGCACATGTGACAGACGTGAAAGTGTCTGGAGAAGTCGTGGAGAATGTTATGCCGCCTCTTACATTGTTCAGCATGACTGTTTTGGTGGTGGGTCAGTGATGGTCTGGGGAGGCATATCCATGGAGGGAAGCACAGACCTCTACAGGCTAGACAATGGCACCCTGACTGCCATTAGGTATCAGGATGAAATCCTTGGACCCATTGTCAGACCCTATGCTGGTGCAGTGGGTCCTGGGTTCCTCCTTGTGCACGACAATGCCCGGCCTCATGTGGCGAGAGTATGCAGGCAGTTCCTGGAGGATGAAGAAATTGATACCATTGAATGGCCCCTACACTTGCCTGACCTAAATCCAATAGAACACCTCTGGGATATGTTTCGGTCCATCCGCCACTGCCAGGTTGCACCTCTAACTGTCCAGGAGCTCAGTGATGCCCTGGTCCAGATCTGGGAGGAAATACCCCAGAACACCATTCGTCGTTGTCAGGCATGCATACAAGCATGTGGGGGCCATACAAACTACTGAGTACCATTTTGAGTTGCTGCAATTGAATTTCAGCTAAATGGACTAGCCTGCTGCATCATTTTTTCACTTTGATTTTCAGGGGGGGGTCTTTGAATTCAGTCCTCTGTAGGTTGATAATTTTCATTTCAATCAAACGATGGGGCATCCTTACGTTCCTAACACATTACCCAGTCCATATCAGTATAGATATCCAGCCTGAGATTTTTCCTCATTGAGATCTGATGTGTTTTCAAGATGTTCCTGTAATTTTCTTTGAGCAGTGTAGTTACACAAGTCTTCTATCAGATCTATGGATCTACAGTACATGAAGACATGTAGAGCATAATTGCATCTGAAGCAATCACTGACAAAATGGCCGACTTCCCTTTATCTGCAGACATGACTTCACCTATATTTTTCCACTTGCTACAGTATTTGCTGCTTGAGAAGATATCAAGTTCTCAAGTCCTCGTTGAACATGAAGCAGAAAATGAAGTAATCTAATATTCAGCTTATACAAACGTGAGAGAGTACGTCCATGCAGTGATTTAACTGCATTTTCTGGAGCTGGTTTTGTAAGGGGGAATACCACATCAAAGATGGCACTTTCAGCTTCCGGAGCCTCTCATAGCTTTACATCACGAGATCTGACATGTGACTGGAGTAGGAAGTGTTTGTGAAGTGAAGGTACAGAGATGGATGAGGATGGGCTCCCCATAGTTGGCTCTGGGATAGACCTCACTAAGGTTCGTTATCTTTCTAGCTGTGCTTTATTAGTTATTTAATATAATGTGTTCATTGTTAGAGCTGAATAGCCAAGGTCATGCTGCAGCTGAATAAATACACATATGGAGTTGTGCTTTATTGATGTGTTAATAATTGCAGAGCTGCATTCATTTGTGCTTTTATATTTGCATAGAAGTCAGCTTTAGGTCTGGTTCACACCAGAATCTCATAGGAATGCTGTCTGCGTTCCCTTGCAGTGCGATGTAGTAGCCTGTTCATTTGAATGGGGTGCAAATTTCACCGGAACGCACAAAAAGTAGTGCATGCACTACTCCTGAATAGCACACCAACATCTGGTGCGTTTTTGCATTCTGTGGCTGGGCTGCCATTAACAATGTATTAGCACCCTCAGCAGATTGCAGAGGCATTGCGGTGTGAACACGGTGCGAGAAAGGCGTATGCAATGTGCATTTCCCACACTGCATCCTGCTGTAAACCAGCCTTTAACCTCGTGGCGTCATCCGAATGCAAATGTCCGGCGTCTGGGCCTAGACGCTGAGCGGCCGCACATTTGCGTTATATTAAAAATGTGCCGAGAGCGTGTGCCCTGCGCACTCCCACCACACATGTCCGGTACTCACAGAAAGGTCCCGATCTCCTCTTTCGATCGGGACCTTTTCCGATCATGTGACTGCCGTGATGACGCGTCACGGCAGTCACATGACCCTAAGCCCTGCCTCCCGGCTTCTGTAACCCTTAAAGGGCCGGGAGGTGCCTGCGTCAAGGGGTTAATATTGAATATATGCCTCATACACACTAGGTGTCAAAAATACCACTTTTAGGGCTCGTTCACACTTGACTTTATTTCTAACTCTTGCCAAACGCCCCTATAGCTTTTGACAGGCATTTGGGAAGTGTTTTTAATGCTCCCCAAATGCCCTATGCACGGTTTTAAGGCGTTTGATTGGCATTTGCCAAGTGTTAAAACCGCACCATGCCTATAATGAAGTTAAATGGTATTAATGGCCTCGCAAACCGCGTCGCAAACGCCTGCCAGGCGTTTGAGGAGTGGCACCATAGACTTGAATGGTAGGCTTTAACTCCTCCTGACTCGACATGAGGCGCCAGTTTTAAGGCAACGCTAACACTTCAGTGTGAACAGCACTGTGTGCTGCTATGTGCAGAATTTTCATAGGCGTTTGAGAAGTGTTAAAACCGCTTCCCAAATGCCTGTCTGACGCCTGCTGACAAACCTACTGTGAATGTAGCCTAAAGGGCGTTGGACTTTTTTTTTTTTCCTGCCACTACAGGTTAGCCCAGTGCTCAACAAATCCCAGGTCGCGACGGCAACTAGATACCGTGCCTGGGCCCATGCCAGTTCACACTGCCCCACACTCCCCCCCACCCCGTTTTCATGGCAGCCCCTCTCTACTGCTCCACAGAGTGGAGTCCAAGCGAAGCCCTCCCCTAGTGCACACCTCTGCCGGGCAAAGAATCCCTCCGAGGTCCCTGCCCAGTCACCTGAAAGCTGCCCCCCCCGGAGGACACCCCAGGATCGCTGCACAACCCACTAACCCCCCCCGTCTAACAGTGGTGGCCACCAACACGTGTGGCTCCCCACCCCGGATGAGCACCGGATGCAGACTGGAGTCAGTGGAGCCACCAGGTCCCGCCACCTACAAGACAGCAGACAGTTCACCTCCAGCATGGTGCCGACCCCACCTACCGACCATAACAACCAGGCGGACACAGGCTCAGCTACCCCACCTGGCACCAGATCCTTTCCACTGACACCATTTGGAGGAGCTGCTGCTGGACAGGTGAGAGCTAGGAGGACTGGTGTTTCCCAAGGTGTGTGTGCCAGTTTCCCCTTCCTGTGACATTGCTTCCCTCCCGTGACACTTCCCCCTCCTGTCCCGCTGCCCCCCTCCCTTGACACTTACCCCTCCTGCTCTCGCTGGCCCCTCTTCTGTGACACTTCCCCTCTTGTCCTGCGGTTCCCCTCCTGTCCTGCTGCTCCCCCCACCTGGCTTCTAGATTCAAAACAAATTTGTCAAACCTTAGGTTAGCCTATGTGCCCATGCACATTCCAGGAATTTAGGGACAGCAATAAAAAAAAAAAAGACCATCACTTACGCATTCAGGAAAGGAGCGTTCTGGCAGGAAAAAAAAGTCAAACGCATATATGTGCGTGTAAATGCGCCTACGCATTAGCCACGTTAAGCATTTGAGCATTCTTTCAATGGCCAGAATAAATTCCTATTCTGGGCAATGAAATTATTGAATGTCCAAACAAATTAGTTTGTGAAACGCAGCTTTGAGTGCGTTTTTTAATGCTGCTTTTCTCCTGCCAGGAGAAAAGATGTTCAGAAGAGCTGGGCCAGGGGTAGGCAACCTGTGGCTCTCTAGCTGTTGTGGAACTACATTTCCCATGAGGCATTGCAACATTACAAAACTGACAGTTACAGCTATGACTTGCAGAGGCATGATGGAACTTGTAGTCCTGCAACAGCTGGAGAGCCGTGGGTTGCCTACCCCTGAGCTGGGCAAACACCAGTGTGCCAGCCTTGGTACATGCTTATTGACAGACAATGTTCTGGCTGTAATGAAGTGTGAGTGACATTGTACATGAGAAGGACTGAAGTTTCTATAGTGGGCTATCCTCCATTTCTGTAATGGTAGTGAGAAGAGGAGGACTGACGCTGAACTTAACTCTTTCCCTGCCAGGTGCTCCATTTATCCTCAGGTGGCCATACCATGTTTGCAATCTTTTACCCTTTTTTTATATATTTCCATACAGCTTTCAGACTTTAGCCCAGGTTCCACCGATTTTGGAACGTTCACAGGCATGGGTAAAAAGAATAGCTTTTACAGGAAATCTATTTTAGGTACAATAAATACTACAGTATCTAAACCATTCCATTGTTGCTCTGGCTGTATGTTTAGGGTTGTTGCCCTGCTGGAAGGTGCACCTCCGCCTCAGTCTCAAGTCTTTTGCAGACTCTAACAGGTTTTCTTCTAAGATTGCCCTGTATTTGACTCCATCCATCTTCCCATCAACTCTGACCAGCTTCCCTGTCCCTGCTGAAGAAAAGCATCCCCACAACATGATGGCACCACCACCATGTTTCACAGTGGGGATGGTGTATTCAGGGTGATATGCAGTGTTCTGCCACACATAGCGGTTTGCTTTTAGGCCAAAAAGTTCCATCTTGGTCTCAGCTGACCAGAGCACCTTTTCCACGTTTGCTGTGTCCCCCACATGGCTTCTATCAAACTGCAAACAGTACTTATTATGGCTTTTTTTCAACAATGGCTTTCTTCTTGCCACTGTTCCATAAAGGGCAGATTTTTGTGGAGTGCATGACTAATAGTTGTCCTGTGGACAGATTCTCCCACCTGAGCTGTGGATCTCTGCAGCTCCTCCAGAGTTACCGTGAGCTTCTTGGCTGCTTCTCTGATTAATGCTCTTTTTGCTCGGCCTGTCAGTTTAGGTGGACGGCCTTGACTTGGTAGGTTTGCAGTTGTGCCATACTCTTTCCATTTTTGGAGGATGAATTAAACAGTGCTCTTTGAGATGTTCAAAGCTTGGGATTTTTTTTTTTTTTTTTTTGATAACCTAACCCTGCTTTAAACTTCTCCACAACTTTATCACTGACCTGTCTGATGTTTTTCCTTGGCCTTCATGATGCGGTTTGTTCACTAATGTTCTCTAACAAACCTCTGTGGCTTCACAGAACAGCTGTATTTATACTGAAATTAAATTACACAAAGGTGGACTCTATTACTAATTAGGTGACTTCTGAAGGCAATTGATTCCACTAGATTTTAGTTAGGGGTATCATAGTAAAGGGGGATGAATGTAAATGCATGCCACACTTTTCACATATTTATTTGTAAAAAAAATTTTGAAAACCATTTATAATTTTCCTTACACTTCACAATTATGTGCCACTTTGTGTTGGTCTATCACATAAAATCCCAATAAAATACATTTACATTTTTGGTTGTAACATGACAAAATGTGTAAAATTTCAAGGGGTATGAATACTTTTTCAAGGCACTGAAAAATGAGTGTCTGTCTGCATATGGGAATAACAGATGTTTGTGTACAGCCATGTCTACAAATGAATGGCAAGCTGTGGATGCATGGTGGCAATTCCACATCTGAACATTTACTTGTGTATAGGGACAGACAGTTTACTTCCAGAGCCACCCATCCCTCCCTCTATACAAGTAAGCACTGGGATGTGCAGTTACCAATGTACAGCCACAGCCTGTCACTAATTTAGCAGGCAGCTTTCCACAACCACTTGTCACTTCCAGGCACATGTGAATGTCTAAAGTCATTTTTTTCACTCTTGTTAGAGAAGGGCAGCTGTCATAGGAACAGGTTTCCTCATGCCTCCTTACCTGTTCAAGTGACGACCATATAATTTTGGCTTTCCCATAACTTTCTGCTCAGTGTTAATGTCACCAGAAAAACAGAGAATATGAATTTCCCAGCAAGGGGCATAGATAGCAAAATAAACCTGACAACCCACACTCTATCCAAAACTAAAATGAAAAAAAAAACATCTGACATCTACTGACACTTGATTGGTTGATTGCGAACGAGGAAGCTCCTGCTAATGTGCATGGCTGTTCAGTCATTACATGCTAAGGTGTGCTGATAACGTGCAATCTCAGCCCAGCGAACCTTCCAATAAAGGTTGAGACTGGGCAGTTAAAGTGGGACTTCACTTTCTCGGTCAACATTGACTATTTTTAAAACTTATGTTGCTAGCATTAGTAATTAGATAGGAAGGTATTTTATATTTACTTTAAAATGGTAAAGGTATGTGAGCGCATTAAGATGGGAGAGAAACAAAAAGCTATGCACAAAGGTAACCAAAATAAAACCTCAATCAAACAGTACATTGATGGTGCAGCGCTAAAATTATTAAGGTCATAAAATCTGATAAAAGGATAATGAATAAAAAGTTCATAAATGAGTGTAAATGGTTAACAGTTCAAAGGTGACTTTCAGTGCTCTTAAAGTGCCAGTTTTCCTGGTGGGTTGGTGCTTGTGCAATAATTGTGGAAGAATTGCGCACTCACCAGACGCGCAATGTAAATGCGCCCATGAACATAAATCCAGATGTCATCAGGGTAAGCCAGGTATTGGGGTAACTTCCCTCTGAAGGGTGGAATGGAACATCAAATGGATCCTGGGGCTTTAAATGGTGATCCAAAATCAGCCAGAGCTTCCCTTAAGGGATGAGTGGGTGCTGCTCTCAGGATGTGCAGGAGGCTCCCTCTCTGGGTACTGGGATGGATCTTGTGCAGTGCATCTGAAATTAATACTCCTCCAGGGAGTTCAAGACAAAGATATGCCCATAGTGTAGTATAGTAAAGCAACTATTTATTGAGGGGTAAAGTATAAAAATGATGCATTAAAGTAGTACAACATTGTATTACTTTGATGCATCATTTTTATACTTTACCCCTCAATAAATAATTTGTAAACACTATAACATTCACATAAACCAATTAATATACAGTCAGGTCCATAAATATTGGTACATCGACACAATTCTAACATTTTTGGCTCTATACACCACCACAATGGATTTGAAGTGAAATGAACAAGATGTGCTTTAACTGCAGACTGTCAACTTTAATTTGAGGGTATTTACATCCAAATCAGGTGAACGGTGTAGGAATTACAACAGTTTGCATATGTGCCTCCCACTTGCTAATTGACCAAAAGTAATGGGACAGAATAATAATCATAAATCAAACTTTCACTTTTTAATACTTGGTTGCAAATCCTTTGCAGTCAATTACAGCCTGAAGTCTGGAACGCATAGACATCACCAGACGCTGGGTTTCATCCCTGGTGATGCTCTGCCAGGCCTCTACTGCAACTGTCTTCAGTTCCTGCTTGTTCTTGGGGCATTTTCCCTTCAGTTTTGTCTTCAGCAAGTGAAATGCATGCTCAATCGGATTAAGGTCAGGTGATTGACTTGGCCATTGCAGAACATTCCACTTCTTTCCCTTAAAAAAAACTCTTTGGTTGCTTTTGCAGTATGCTTTGGGTCATTGTCCATCTGCACTGTGAAGCGGCGTCCAATGAGTTGTGAAGCATTTGGCTGAATATGAGCAGATAATATTGCCCGAAACACTTCAGAATTCATCCGGCTGCTTTTGTCAGCAGTCACATCATCAATAAATACAAGAGAACCAGTTCCATTGGCAGCCATACATGCCCACGCCATGACACTACCACCACCATGCTTCACTGATGAGGTGGTATGCTTAGGATCATGAGCAGTTCCTTTCCTTCTCCATACTCTTCTCTTCCCATCACTCTGGTACAAGTTGATCTCGGTCTCCTCTGTCCATAGGATGTTGTTCCAGAACTGTGAAGGCTTTTTTAGATGTCGTTTGGCAAACTCTAATCTGGCCTTCCTGTTTTTGAGGCTCACCAATGGTTTACATCTTGTGGTGAACCCTCTGTATTCACTCTGGTGAAGTCTTCTCTTGATTGTTGACTTTGACACACATACACCTACCTCCTGGAGAGTGTTCTTGATCTGGCCAACTGTTGTGAAGGGTGTTTTTTTCACCAGGGAAAGAATTCTTCGGTCATCCACCACAGTTGTTTTCCGTGGTCTTCTGGTCTTTTGGTGTTGCTGAGCTCACCTGTGCGTTCCTTCTTTTTAAGAATGTTCCAAACAGTTGTTTTGGCCACGCCTAATGTTTTTGCTATCTCTCTGATGGGTTTGTTTTGTTTTTTCAGCCTAATAATGGCTTGTTTCACTGATAGTGACAGCTCTTTGGATCTCATCTTGAGAGTTGACAGCAACAGATTCCAAATGCAAATAGCACACTTGAAATGAACTCTGGACCTTTTATCTGCTCATTGTAATTGGGATAATGAGGGAATAACACACACCTGGCCATGATACAGCTGAGAAGCCAAATGTCCCATTACTTTTGGTCCCTTAACAAGTGGGAGGCTCACATGGAAACTGTTGTAATTCCTACACCGTTCACCTGATTTGGATGTAAATATCCTCAAATTAAAGCTGACAGTCTGCAGTTAAAGCACATCTTGTTCGTTTCATTTCAAATCCATTGTGGTGGTGTATAGAGCCAAAAATGTTAGAATTGTGTCCATGTCCCAATATTTATGGACCTGACTGTACATGTATTGGGATTTTTTTTTGATGGTGCAAACACAGATGCACAGGTATCCCACATCCCACATCCAAAATCAAACGCAAAGCAAAATTAGCCCACACCACTGTTAAAACCCCACAATTAAAAGGGTATTATGACAAAATACATATCATGCTCCAGAAGCAGACTTCCCTGCTGATGGGTTAGACCTGTTAATGGACTTCCTACTGTATATAGTTATCTTCTATTTTAACCTTGCATGTCTTTCTGTGCAGGTCCCAGCCATCCAACAGAAGAGGACTGTCGCTTTTCTGAATCAGTTTGTAGTGCACACAGTTCAGTTCCTGAATCGCTTCTCAACTGTGTGTGAAGAGGTTTGTCATATCCCTACTTATTTAAGTAATGTGACCATTGGTGTCTTTTAATTCACTCTTTAACCTCTTGCCGGCAATGTAACACATATATGTGGCAGAGGAGAGTGGGCTTTAACACCTCCGTGAAGCACATACAGTATGTGTCTGTGGCAGCCAAGATTTCTGTATTGAGAGTGAGCTCCCTTTTGCACTCCCTGCCCACTAAATGAGCTGTCACAGACAGCTCCTGACCTCTGATTATGATCAGGAGGCAGCCAATGGGACAGGCTCCTAATCACCTGACTACTGGGACAACCAAACACAGTATTCATGTGATCTGGAAGTCTGTCTCAACCACACCTGGAAGTGTCCAAAGGTGAAGATTATGGCTGTAGCCCTTTGAAGAAAGTAAAGTGAGGAATCGTCCCCTTCTGGAGGTAAGTATTAAGAGCCTTTTTTGACAAGCAACATATTTTAGATTTTTTTTTTTTTTTCAAGTAAAAGAGTCACTTAAAAGCAGAACTGAGTTAAACTTTTGGCTTGTAAAGTATAGAAGACATTCTGTCAGCAGCCAGGCAAATACCATTTTCAAATGGGAAAGTCAGCTGTTCTGTGCTTGCTGGTTCCTGTCAGTTTATATTGCAGTAAATGGTACATTGATTGGAAAAAAAATCTAGGAGTAACTCTCAATCTATTCCAAGACTGTTTTTTGTAGTTGTGTGCAGCAAATTACAAAATGAAGCTAGAAAAAGCAGGGATGACAACTAGAAGAAATGTTCTTTTCAGAAAGCATAAAAACTGTAACTGTGTTCATTCCTGCTTTGTCACTGAATAAAGATGTTTATGTGCACATAGCTAAGCTGTTGCTGTGCCGCATGTTCTTAGGCATCTTATATTGTGTTATGTTATTGTATGATTTATGTTCTTTATACTTCTAAAGAGGCACCTGTTTCCATAGTAGTTTGTTCATCTAAATGGGCTTGTTTAAACCATTTGAAATGTGTCATATGTGATTATCAGAGAGTAGCATTTAGTGTATATGGCTGGCAAAAGAATTGACTATTCATATACGTAAAACACTTTTTATGATCATTATATTATATTTCTTTTCTTTATTACTTCAGAAACTATCGGCCCTTTCACTGCGTATTCAACAGATTGAAACAACTCTCAATATTTTAGAAGCAAAGGTTTGTGGTACTATTTTTTTTAAATTCATAAATATGTATTAAGGCATCATTCAAACCATTGTTCTAATTTTATCTATAGTTGCTAATGATTTCGTTTCCACTACCAGCTTTCTTCCATCCCTGGGTTAGAAGATGTGAAAGCTGAAACACAACTGGTGCCTAACAATCTTACCAATGGACATGTGCCATCAAAAGCTGATACAGAATCCCTTACAGTTTTGCCCCAGTCTGATGTGAGTAGCTTGTTACCTATTTTCACATTGTAGGCTCACCAACAGGCTCATCAGTGCATCAATGTCCAATGAACAGTGTGCAGATGGAGGCAGATGAATGGACTTCATGATTTTTCTGGTTTTTTTTGTTTTTTTTTTTTGTTTTTTTTTTTTCTTTCTATGTAGCTGACGAGTGATCACATAATTTATTTTTATCAGCAATTAGATGAACATTCACCTGGCACATTACAGCTGATTTTCTAAAGGAGCTGAGAACAGTAAATTGTGTAATTATGTGCTTTTACTATCCAGCCATGTGCAGATAAAATAAGTAAACATGAACTTGTTTTCACATCGGTTAAAGCAGTTGTAAACATGGTATACTTACCTGCTCTGTGGTATTGCAGCCCAGAACCTCCTCTTCTGGGCTCCTCTGTCGGCGCTCTGGGCTCCTCTTCTCTGTGTGCCACCATAGGAAGCTGTTTCCTATGGTAGCACATCTGCAGGCTTGCTCCTGAGTCGCGCTGTGTGAGTCCATAGACACACAGAGCATGGCTCGGCGCCGCCCTTCGCTCACAGGATTTGATTGACAGCAGCAGGAGCCAGTGGCTCCTCCTACTGTGTCTATGAGCCTGTGAGAAGGGAGAGAGAGACCAGTGCCACTGCAGATAGGCACAGAGCTGGATCGAGATAGGACTCGGGTAAGTATAAAGGGAGGTGAGGGGGTGATACAACTAGTAGTATATTTTTTTTAACTTAATGCAGGGAATGCATTCAAGTGATCGTAAAGGTACGACATTGGAAAAAAAAAAAAATGTCAAACACGGGGGCTGAGGGGAGAACCGCATAGTGAAGGTTTTTTAACCTTCATGCATAGAATTCATGAAGGTAAAAAACCTTCAGCCTGTAGAACCATTTGAACTGCTTCCCAATGATGCTATAGCCAAAATACTACTACAGCACAGTTGTCCAGTTCTGGGAGGGCATCTATAGATGTCCTCCTAGAACCGTGCCCCTGAGATCTGTGTGATCTGTGATCTCTGTAAAGGGCCAATCACAGCAGCCCTTTACCATGTGATCAGCTGTGTCCAAACACAGCTGATAACACTGTAAACAGACTTGCTGGTTATCAGCATTCCTTTCCTTATATGCTGTCACAGCATGAGGAGAGGAAAGCCAGTAACTGGCAGTTCACACAGGAGATATTTACACTGATTGTCATTGCAGCCCCATAAGCACACATTGGTGATACTTATTTGCAAAATTTTATAACAGAAAATAAGAAAAGCATTTTTTTCAACATTTTCGGTCTTTTTTCGTTTAAGCATGAAATAAAAATCCCAGTGGTGATTAAATACCACCAAAAGAAAGCTCTATTGGTCTCAAAATAAAAAGGTAAAAATTTTGTTAGGGTACAGTGTTGCATGACTACGTAATTGCCATTCAAGGTGCGACAGCGCTGAAAGCTAAAAAGTTGCCTGAGCAGGAAGGAGGGGAAAGTGCACTGTATTGAAATGGTTAAGGTAAAAAATGTCTAACCTTTAGAACCACTTTTAATTAATGAATATTTACTGTTATCAATTTATTACATGAGCATTTTCAAATCATTTAGTAATTTTGGCTTATTACATTTCTTCTCGATATTCTTCAACTGTCACCAATTTTAGTGCGTACACAGAGACATCAGAAGTTTATGGGATGATCAAAACAGCTTGTTCATTCACAGTAGTAAAACGCTAAATGTGGAAATGAACCTACAGCCCACTAGCTTGAATGCTTATCCTTTTATGGACCATATATAAATTCATATTTAGGAATTGTATTGTATACACAGTATACTGAACACATACTGTGTATTATATACACAGTATGTGTTCAGTATATGATGCTGCATGTATATGAAAGCTGCTCATAAAATAATACTGTTGGGCAATAGTATTGGTAGCCTCTAGGTGACCTATGTCAAAGTTTAAAGGGTTTCTGCAGATTGAAGGTTGCTCTGAGATTTTGTATCCTTTTCCTATGCAGACAAGATGAGCAGATGTCATCCAGATAACCTGGCATCAGTTATGCCCTAGAGCAGGGTTCTCCAAACTGTGGCCCTTTGCCTGCCTCTATACGGCCCTCGGAGTACTTTTCCTCCCACTGACACAACCAAGGAGGCACCATCTCTTCCACTGGCACCAACTATGGGGCATTTTTCCTTCCATTGACACCAATAATGGGGCTCAATTCCTCCCACTAATATAAACAATTCGGTACCGTTCCTCCCACAAATATAAAGGATGGGGCACTATTCCTCCCTCTGTCACCAATGACGGGGCACTATTCCTCCCTCTGTCACCAATGACGGGGCACTATTCCTCCCTCTGTCACCAATGACGGGGCACTATTCCTCCCTCTGTCACCAGTGACGGGGCACTATTCCTCCCTCTGATGACGGGGCGCTATTCCTCCCTCTGTCACCAATGATGGGGCGCTATTTCTCCCTCTGTCAACAATGATGGGGCGCTATTCCTCCCACTGACACTAATGATGGGATGCTATTCCTCCCACTGACACTAATGATGGGATGCTATTCCTCCCACTGACACTAATGATGGGGTGCTATTTCTCCCACTGACACTAGTGATGGGGTGCTATTCCTCCCACTGACACTAATGATGGGGCGCTATTCCTCCCTCTGTCACCAATGATGGGGCGCTATTCCTCCCTCTGTCACCAATGATGGGGCGCTATTCCTCCCTCTGTTACCAATGATGGGGCGCTATTCCTCCCTCTGTTACCAATGATGGGGCGCTATTCCTCCCTCTGTCACTAATGATGGGGTGCTATTCCTCCCTCTGTCACCAATGATAGAGCTTTGTTCCTCCTATTCCCCACCTTCCACTGACTACAGGCACTATGTAATTTTTTTTATTTTTTTTTTACTACTACTGACGCTGGGACATTTTCTACTCCCACTGGCCACTCCGGCCCTGCTAAGGTCTGAAGGACAGTAAACTGGCCCTTTGTTTAGAAAATTTGGAGACCCCTGCCTTAAAAGGAAGCAATCAGGAGAGTATCAGTCCCGCACTGAATTATGGCTGTTGACGTTTTTGAGCCATTTTGATCATTGGATTGTATGTACACGACCCGCTTTGCGGACTGATTGTGATTTTAATTGTTAAATCTGATGTAGGTAGACCTATTACAGATGAATATACTGTATATATAAAATGTATGCATCTATTTTTAAGCACTGTCAGCGCTTGGTACTATGTTGGAGTTGACTTGTGAGGATAACAAGCTATTATTAGGTTAGATGAGGTCATTGAGATTTCCCTTGTTTTGTGTGGTGAAATACGAATACTTTTTTTGGCATACATGTGCCACAACAGAATGCTTGCTGGCTTTGCACATACAAGCACACAAGCTTTATCTACTCAAAGACTTATTACTATTGTTGGCAGGTAGTGCATCAGAATTCCATAAATGATAATACATCACAGAAGGAAGAAGTACACACAGAAAGTGTCGCAACTGTGGCTAAAGATCCTAGATATGCAAGATATCTGAAGATGGTCCAAGTGGTAAGTAAAGCATCCCTGTAATGGATATACGCAAGTGTAACCGTAGTAATTGCTAAAGAATCTAGGAGCTGTAGGGGTTGAAGTTTTAAACCTCATGTATCCATAGACTTCAGATGACAGCCTCTAGGCAAAACAGTTAATTCCAGTTTAAATGCACATGTCTGAGCTATATTATTTGCCAAACCATTTGCAATTATGCCCAACCACTTTTATACTTTGTGAACCACATATAGCAAAGTCAGGAGTCATGTGATCAGTTGTTGCCCAGTCACACTTAAGCATTGTGTTACTACACATTATAGCATGTGTTAAGATGCTTTGTGTTAAGGCAACCTGTTCATTAATGAATGGATTGATGATGCACCACAGCTTTCAAAATAATGTACATGACCTTTTAATTTATTTACTATCGATGCAATGCACCACGATGTACAGTTTGTGGTGTTGTGTTTTTGGCTTTACTGTACAGTGCATTGGGGTGTTATTTACAATGAATAGTACTGTACATAGATCAGGTGTATTGCCATGCCATGTGGTAACACACATTTTAGCATGTATCACTACAACACATGTGTGAATGGGACATTAGAGTTAAAGCTGAACTCCAAGTACTCTAAATATTCTCTAGCCTCACTGCAAGAGTTAGCTGCTCATTTCTGTCTAGGAGATGTGAAAAAGCAGATTTACTTACCTGATCCTACTCTCCTGCAGGCTCCTCTGCACTGCTAGACCAGTTTCTGCAGCGTCTTCTCCCAAATGTGCCTATAGTCAAGGTCCTCTGATGTCACCAAGACTGATGCATGGTCCTAAATTTTGAACTGGAACCACGAGGGACAGTCCTCCCCTTCAGCATGGGGGCACGCCCATCTGCCCCTAGACTAAACAAGACATTAACTCTTGTGGTGCAGGTATAGCCCCACTGCAAAGGGGAAATTTGAAGTTTTACTGGAATTGGGTTTTAAGGGTAGGCTTGGGACGGAGGACTGTTGTAAATACTAAACAAATTGCATTTTAAAAAAGCATGAACTGCAAAAACTCCTTTTTGGTGGAATAGAATGACAGGTGCCATAACAAATGCTTTGGTTTCCTTCAGACCTCCATTGCATGAGACTCACAATCTATACGTTGTACATCTATTATTGTAATTCTATTCAATATTAACTTTTCTTTTACAGGGGGTACCTGTGATGGCCATCAGAAACAAAATGATTTCCGAAGGACTTAATCCAGATCTTTTAGAGTAAGTCACGTTTAAATCCCAAAGATAGAACATGGCAGAATGTGTCCATGTGTGTATGTATATAATGTATGTATAGGAAAATAATATATTATCATGTTAACTGTAGTTCATGAGCACAAGGATGTTGAAGGATCTTATTGGTGTGTGTTGCTGTGGACAAGATTTTTTCTTTTTCTCTTTCTTTATTTGTCTTTCGTTAGATTACGCCAAGTCGATATGAACATGATTTTGTGAAATTCAGATGGGTGTTTGTGACTTTTTTTTCCCGGAAGGGTACGTGTGACTTTTTTTTTTTTTTTTTTTTCTTTCCCTACTTCCCTAGGACTCCCAATGCCCCGGTTCCTGATGGAGAACTTACAGCAGAAGACAGCTCTGACAGTGAATCTTCCTTTAGTGACTAAGGATGCTGGTCTATATGAGCTGTATGAGCCCTGTGTGGCTATGCCAGTGATATTCACTACAATGTAAAGGCATCTTGGTAAATTGTAGTTCATAAAAGTCTCCCACAAATGAAAGTTTACCAGATACTGAATAATCCCTGTGAACTGAACAAGCTGGTGATTGCACCCATGATGGTAATATTGTTTGTAGGAGGGCTGACTGTTGAAGTCTACAAACTGTTCTCCCAGAAGTATTTCTTAAAGGCTCAGTATTTCTGAATATGCTGTCATAGGGTTAACCATGTCCAAGCACAATTGTTCGAACATGCATTGAAGGAGGAAATTCCTGATGTGTGTTCTGTAAACTGTAAAGGAGATGTTTGGTGTAACCTGGTTCAGGAAAGGGAAGTTATTTCCTCAAAATGTGTCTATATATAAATAATATCTGATAACACTCTTTTTGTATATAGCTGAAAATGTTTAGTTTATTAATTAATCAAAATTCAACCAGTTGTGTAAAATGTTTGGTATCTGATGGATGTATAAGAAATCAGTGTACCATAATCAATTAATATTTTGATCATTAAAAATTATGACTGAAAACTTGTGTTTGTGGCACCTGACACCAAAATGTGAAGAACAAAAAAAAAATATGTCATCCCTGGAACTTTCACTTCTAATACAAATTTGCAGTGACATATATTGCATGCCATATTTGTGTTTTGACAACTTTCTTTTAAAGGGGACTTATCATTAATAGTTATCCGTTATATGAATTCATAGGGCACATGTTAGTATTGGTAAAGAACATTTCTTGGAATTCATACAGAGTTGTGCAAGCAGATTTTGTGAAAGTGTCTCATGCATTCTAAAAGTGGTGAAGACTGTGCCAAATTCATGTACCTGTCTAGAACTTAAACTTGTACTGGCTTATGTTGTGCCACTTTTAGAATACACGTGAGACACTCACAAAATCTGTCTGAGCCAGTTTTACTCTCTGTACACCAAAAGTTGGTCTTAATTGGCTCCACTTTGACATTGTGTCGCATTAAATGCACCAAATGTAAAAGTGTCACTTTTTAGAACTATCTGAATTTGGTGCATGAGTCGCTGTCAGAACCAAAAGTGTCAAAAATGCTTCTGAATTTGGCGCAATACAGTAACAAGAGGGAATACCACCAGAAAAGTGGTGCAGGAGCTCTACTGAATTTCCCCCATTATATTTTGTAAGTGTAAACAAGTATCTTTCTTATGAGTAATATCTATGTTCTGTGCTCCTTCATGTGACTTACAGTCCTGGCAATGATGACATGGTCTCTGGCTGCCAGGTGCACTATGGGCATTTTGTATGCATTAGAGATGGCAAAAAGTGTAGTGTTTTCAATTAGACGGACATAATCATTAAAGTGTTACTAAAGGCTAGATTTTTTTCATTATTTAAAATAACCAGTTATACTCAATTGCTCTGTGCAGTGGTATTGCATAGAGTGGCCCCCAACCTCCTCTTATCAGGTTCCCCTCTGGCAATCTTGGCTCCTCTTTTTAGTGTGTCCCCATAGCAAGCCGTTTGCTATGGAGCCACACAGTGTCTGCTCACTCCTGAGCTGTGTGTGTGGAGCCAATGGCTCCTGCTGCTGATAGAGATGACATGTGAAGAGGAAGAGAGGGGAGGAGAGATGCAGCTGTGCACAGCACTGGATCTATTCTCCTCTCTCTTCCCCTTCACACAGGAAAGGGGGAGGACAGAAGAATAGAAAACCGTTTTTTTTTAACCTTAATGCAAGGATTGCATTAAGGTAAAAAAAGGTTTTTTACCTTAGTATTACCTATCAAGTAAAGACGATTGGCAGGAAGCATTATGTGATGAGAATAAATGGCTTCCCCAGAGCGAGGTTGCTTGGCAGAGTCATGTGCAGGAAGGCTGTAGTTTACACAGAAGCACATGAATGAAGATTGCTGAATCTGACTGCAAAGAATTAAATCACAATTGTGATGACTTTCTGATATAAGAAACATCAGTTTAGCAGTTGTTTAATTGTATCAGTTGGATAGCAATAGAATTACAGTATTTGTCTAACAAGAACACTCAGTTATCCAGTCCACATTAAAAGCAATTTTGAGCTGTACCCATATCTGTAATTATAAACGAGAGCGAGAGAGCAAGAGAGTCCTGAAACATTTAGCAGGTTGCCTTTAATATTGATGTGAGTAGAAAACCTTGGTGTAAAATGGTTTGTGAGAGACCTGCTTCAGGCTGAAGATGAAATCATGAGAATCATGGGATTATCAGGTTCATAGGCAGCTGTGACTGCAATTAGCAGTCACTACTTATTTTCTGTGCTATGACATGCATTGGAGATGGACACTGCAGCACAGACCACACGCACTATATTTGGTGGTATGTTTGTCATGTTTGACGACACCATAAATTCATATACTGTATGTTCTCTTATTCTGTGCACAGGCACCAGATGTGTGTACTGGGATCAGCTTCTGTAAGCAGAACAGAAGATAATTTATTTTCCCTTTTTATTCCTCCCATGTGAAGACCATTTCCAATTCAAAATTAAAGTATTTTTGGCTTGAATTGTTTATATGTGGAAGCTTCATTCTTAAAAAAAAAAAAAAAAAAAAAAAAAGAACCCCTTCCCCACTGGTTCTGATTTGTTTCAATAATATTTTATTACGGGTATTTATATAGCAAGGACAAATGAAGCAACACTTTACATTCACATCAGTCCCTGCTCACAAGGAGCTGATAGTCTAGGTTCCTTAACTCCATATGCTTAAATACATACGCATTCTAGGACCAGTTTAGAGAGGAATCAATTAACCTACCAGCATGTCTTTAGTGTGCTGAAGGAAACCGGAGCACTCAGAGGAAAGCCGCACAAGCACAGGGAGAACATGCAAACTCCATACAGATAGTGATTCAAACTGAGGACCTAAGGGCTACAAGGCACCACTAAGCAACTGTTCTACAATCATCTTGATGGCTTAATTCACCCCCAAAGATCAACTATCCCCACAATTAGAGTTTCTTTTCTCAAATTTGATAAAAATAATAGCAGAATAACATTAAAAAATTGCACACCCAGCAACTGTTTCATCTTAATGAAGTGCAGCAATTGCTATGTACATAGGTTTGCCAGAATGCTCAGTTTATGCAAAATAGAACAGTCAGAGCTTTGTAAGGCAACTTCGCCACCTATATTAGTTCTCTAGATCTTTGGGTTACATAGAAATCACAGCAAGGCTGTTTGGATAAACTGGTGGCAGAAATTTGTAACAAATTTCTGGTAATTGGTGACTACATGGATTCAATGATTGAAATGTGTCCAGACCACCCAAATAGTTTATGAATATTACAGATTGTGCTGTTCTATAATGTGTGTGTTTATTTTTTTTTTTAATCTCAGTTTGTGCAATTGTATATTTCTACAGTTATTAGTGGTTATGTGAGGTAAATTTTAGAAAGAAAATCCTGGAAAGCAGCTAGGGAGCCGGGAGGGAAAGAGCTATACATCAGGCAGCAGTGGTGGAAGACAATTCACCGGTAATGGCCTTACAGATGTGCCTTATTTTACCTCATTCATGTGAGTGCATTTTACCTCTATTTTAATAAATTACACGATGGTCTACACTTCTAGCCGTCTTCTTTTTCCTTCGTTTAAAAGTTTTTGTTTTTTTTCATTTTGGATAGAGTAAGGGAGAGTTATAACCCCTTCTTTTTTTTGCCATCTGTGTCCCATTGAGGGATATTTCCCTTCATTTCTTGTCCTATAGCCAAAATAGGAAGTGAGGATATCCTTCCAAAGTGAGGGAATCCTGGGGTGTCAGCAGGACAAATAAAGAGGGTGAATCTCCCTAACGGGCAGAGAGAACAATAAAATCCCTCTCCAAATTAAAAAAATAAAAAAGTTTTGCCATTAAACTTTAAGGAAAACTTTTACAAATGATGACCTTTCCATCTGCAAATCCTACTAACCTGGCTGTCAAGTGAATACAGATGCTTCAGTACTTTCTGAGTCATTGACCTGGAACAGACATGTCAATCAGAGTTCTGACTTTTGTAGTATTTGTTCCAGGACAGTGACCCAAACTGATTGTTGAAGCTTTCATAAGATCAGCTGTGCCAGCTTCCATATTATTCCCATGCAGCTGTGCAACTGGTGCTATTCTGACTAAGTGTGATACCACGTCTATTTCATCATGGACTCTGATACTCTCTGATCTTTACTCTGATACCCCCCTATCTATCTACACCTAAATAAAATCTAGTGGAACCAATTGCCTTCAGAAGTCACCTAATTAGAAAATAGTGTTCACCTGTGTGTAATTTAATCTCAGTATAAATAAAGCTGTTCTGTGAAGCACTCGGAGGTTTGATAGAGAACATTAGTGAACAAACAGTATCATAAAGGTCAAGGAAGACACCAGACAGGTCAGGGATAAAGTTGTGGAGAAGTTAAAAGCAGGGTTGAGTTATGAAAAAAAAAAATATCCCAAGCTTTGAACATCTCACGGAGCACTGTTAAATCCATCATTGAAAATGGAAAGAGTATGGAACAACTGCAAACCTACCAAGACATGGCCATCCTCCTAAACTGACAGGCCGAGCAAGGAGAGCATTAATCAGAGAAGCAGCCAAGAGGCCCATTGTATCTCTGGGGAAGCTGCAGAGAGATTCACAGCTCAAGTGGGAGAATCTGTCCACAATTGGTCGTGCACTCCACATATCTGGCCTTTATGGCAGAGTGGCTAGAAGAAGCCATTGTTGAAATAAAGCCATAAGAAGTTCTGTTTGCAGTTTGCGAAAAGCCATGTCGAGGACACAGCAAACGTGGAAGAAGGTGCTCTGGTCAGATGAGACCAAAATCAAACTTTTTGGCCTAAAAGCAAAACGCTATGTGTGTGTGGCGGAAAACTAACACTGCACATCACTCTGAACAGAGCATCCCCACCATGAAACAGTGGTGGCAGCATAATATTGTGGGGATGCTTTTCTTCAGCAGGGACAG